CACACGGCATGGCAGACCTCTGCTGTCTTACCAGCTGCTCCCTTCAGCAGTGTATTTCAGTAGATTCACCTGTCCTGCTCCCCACTCTGTGGTGAATCCTGACCTACACTCCAGTTCTCGTATGTATAAATAAATCCTTAAAGAAAAAAAAGAAAAGATTCCCCAGGTAGGGGGAGTAATATGTTCACAGAACTGTGGGGCTGCAGAGACACTTCACACCACCAGGGACCAAAGAACTAAATTGGAAAGAACATGGATTTATAAATTAGAGACAAAAAAGTAAAATCTGGGAATAACACCAAGACTCCTAAGGAGTGAGCTCTGTCCTCCTTTTTAAATTAATGGATTGCCCATCTGCAATCTGTATCGTATGCAAGTATTTCATATGTGCATTCTGACTGGAAAGAGAGAAGAAAGAAGAAAGTCAGAGTTCTTTGGCTTCTTCCATTCCTGACCATTCTTTATTTTCCTGGAAAGCAAAAGGAAAAATGAACCAAAGACAGAAGTATCCTAACATAGTTCAGTTCAGGAGTTTCTTATGCCCCATTACACTGTTCACCATTTCACAGAAGGAAAGGAAACTACTAACAGAGAAAAACAAACATACCAATTAAGAAGATAGCGTCCGAAGCAGATTTCCCATACTGTTGTTCCAGATATTTAGGCATGAAAGAGATCATATTAACAAATGCATTGAACTGGAGAACACTTATCAGTATGAAAAGCATGTAAATTGGGTTGCATAACAGACTTTTCATGAATGGGAAAAAATCTGAAAAGAAAGAATATATGTTAAACTACTTCTACACCTTAACCTTCTGAAATATCAACCTCAAGTCTGTATTAGGTGTTTCTGTTTCATAATATACTATGTTAATTCTCTTTATCCCTTGAAAGCTCAATTTAGCTCTTTGCTTTGGCAGTTTCTGCCAGTCAGAGATGCAGGGCGGCAGGGCAGGTTGCAGGACACAGTGCTTTTGTCTTCACTACATCACCATTATGTCTTAAAGAAAAGGTTTAAGATGACAAAATATTGTCTAGATTCACAGCACTTCCTTTTTATCTTTCTCTTTCCCTACTATGAATATCCTTTCTTCTCTAATGATCATCTGAAATAAAATGCTGTTCTGTATTCTAAACTCTGGATGGAAGTCAATTTGACAAAAGTTTACATTCAAATGTTGATATTATTACTCTGGACATTTAAAATGAAGATGTATGTAGGAACTCGTGGAATATAAATTTTCTTGAATATCAGGTATTTTTTCTTTTTTAGAACAGCAGTTTTGGTGGTTCTGCCAATAGGACATATATTAAAATCACCTGGTGATCATTTCCAGAGGCATTATACTCAGCTAATCTCTTCCCTAGTATTGAAAATAAATTACCTTAGCTTATTTGCCATAGAAATCCCTTCTGTTAATTACACCTTGAACCTTCATTGAGGATTTAAAAATTAACCTGTTATCTAAAATATATTCCTTTGTTTGCTGGAAAATCACCTGTTGAATACTCCTGTATCATGCATCATATGAAAATTGTCTCTTTTTAAAATTTGCTACTTGGTAGACAGTTTCTAAGAGTGACCATTAGTCTCTCTATTGATAAAGTATAGGGAATTATATGACTATTATATTTCTCTCTTCTGCCTAACTCTCAGGAAACGCAAGGCTAAACTTACATTTTTGGTTGCAGAATTAGATATTTATTTCAATTATACATTTTTTTCCATTCTTTGAATTTTTTTAATTTAGCCTATATTCTGTGTAAAATAGAATTTTAAGAAAAATGGGATAAAATAGTGAATAAATTTATTACCCAGATTGACTTAAACTTTTATGTAAATGGCAATATGAGATAAGGCAACTTGTGAATTATATACATTTCCAAGTAGTAACCCAGAAAAAAATCAGACTGTTAGATATTATTGACTGCAGGGTATAATTGACAAGTTGTCTTACTACAGTCCAACATTTAGAATCAGGCTACAATACATCAATATAAAACAAGAAGTAAGTTGTATAGAATTTAAAATGTTTATATTTGCCTTTAGTAAGTCCATCCTTTTCCTTCTTGACCTCTCTTTGTTTCTCCTCTTTTTCATTTTTAATGACCTCTGCAATATCTTTTAGCCCTTCCTTTCGCAGCATTTTGGGCAAAAAGAAAAATGGGATAGAAGTGAGCACATTCACCCCTGCGCAGATAAGAAAGCCAAACCACCATGCACCAACCCAGCGACTATCGGTGGGAGTTATGGTCAGTTCATCTGTAAAGAAATGCACACACTGTTAATTTAGGTAAAGTCATTCTTTCTTTAGGAACTCTAAGAAATTATTGAACCTGTAATTCTCAGTTTCTATCCAAATATAAAAACATAAATATAATTCAGACACTCATAAAATGTGAAAAAATGTAGTATTACTAGATCATAGCAATAAAGTGGTTAAACTATCTGCCTTGTCATCACAGGCATTTGGAAATAGGTTCTTGTTAAATAGCTCTAAGGTCTCTTGTACTACACACAAGTGGTTATTTGATTAACAAACCTATGTGTGCAAATATTTTGAAAACAAGAAATACTTGGTGTCATGTAGTAGAAAGAACACTGAATTTTGAGTCAGAAAACAAGCATTTTGTCATGCTCTCCTGTTCACTGATTTGAAATACTTGAAAAATCATTTAAACTTCTCCACGTCAGTTTGCTCACCTGCAATGTGTACATGCTCTTTTTAAGTGAGGGTCAGGTAAGGCAATGATTAACTGTGCAAACTGCCTGAAGATGCCTGTGAACTCTAGACATTGGCATAATAGAGTCCGTCGCATTACCTGTATTCACAGATCCAGTGTCAACATAAACATTTGCACAGAATGACGCTAACAGAAGTCCAATCAGTGGACCTATGATAGCTCCTGTTTCTACAAACCCTAAAAATAAAGGAAAATATCAAATTATAATACACTCAACCCACCTAAAGAGCCCTAGTTGCATGAAGAACACAAAGTTTGAATTGTCTGGGCTTTATTTCTTCCTTAGGTACTCAATCTATAAGAAAACTTGGTGTACATATAAGTAACAAGATTGTTTCTATAGATGTTGAGCCTCATAACTGAAAGCCACTTTCTCTAGGCCTACAAATTTTCTTTCATCTGGAAGCACAGGTAAAGATTTACTGTAATTGTGGAGGCCAGGATGCACTATCAACAACACCATGCTACAGAGCACAATGGTTCTGATGTTTCTGAAAATGATCATATTTTTAGAGGCATTCTAAAGCCATGCTATGTTATGATGAATTTCTTGTGGCCTATTCCCCAGAAAAGCTTCATCCCTAGATCTCCAACGTGAAAGATTCCTCTGGCTATGTTGTCGTTATCGCTGATAATTCTCTTCACTTTTGTCATGATCCTCCACATTCTTATCTTCCATTTCCATCTGTCTTCTCAAGCTCTTACATATTACAAACTTTTTTATTAACAATATCTCATGCTTTGTCTATAATTCAGAATAAATGCTGAGCCTTCCTTGCTCTGAAAATCAAAACAAGAGCTTCTTCAGCTTTGTTCATATTCAAAATATGACCATGCCCATTGTCTTTGCCTTGCCACAATTGTACAGCCTCCACACCTCCCCACTCTGCTCCTCTGCACACCTGACTTCTTGGCATCCATGCCTTCTATCTTCTGGAAACTCATGCTTAACCAAACACTCCCTTTCTCGTACTTGTTCACCTCCCCCATCCACTGATTTCTGCACTTCAAATCCATCTTGCTCTCTTTCCTTTTACTGTGCCCATCCTTTATTTCTTCTGCCCTCCCACCCCATTCACTTACTCAGATCCTTTCATGTTCAATTGAAAATACTCTCAAGTAGCAAGATTTCACTTAATGTCTCTGTGTAGATGATTCTAGAACTTTTTAAAAATAATATAATAATTTGTTTTTACATCACTTTGTGCCTTTTTCCATCTCAGTTGTAATCCCCGTGGACTTTCATCACCAAATCACCAGTGTGCCATCACCATCGTCCAGTGCACTTCCCTCCCCTCACCGTTTTTGATCCCATTCCCCATTCCACCCCCATAAAATGTCTCTGGTATATAGTTGTTCATTATTATTATTATTATTATTTCTCCCCTGGACCATTATATTCCTGCTATGAGTGAAACCATCTGGTATTTTTTCTTTTCTTTCTGGCTTATTTCAGTAAACATAGAGCTTCCATATGACCCAGCAATCCTACTCCTAGGTATCTACCCAAAAGACACAAAAACACTGATTCAAAAAGACACCTGCACACCCATGTTTATTTCTGCTTTATCTGCAATTGGAAAGACATGGACACAATCCAGATGCCCAAAAGTAGATGACTGGATTTAAAAGATGTGGTACATATACACAATTGAATATTACTCAGCAACCAAAAAAAAAACATGCCTTTTGCAGCAACATGGATAGAGCTGGAAATGATTCTAGAACTTTATATTGAACTTTTATATTCTCCCCCAAACTCCAGAGTCATATCTAGGAACTGTTTTCCTAGTGCATAGTAATTGATTTATATTATTTAATTATACACATACATTTACCAAATTTTATGGATTTGTAATTATGTAGTTATTTTTATGCTAAACCTCATATAGACTATGTCTTATTTATCTTGATACAGAAACAGTAGTTGCAGTTATTTCTATGCTTTACACCCCTTAGTATTTGTTGACTAAATAAATGTATATAATAAGTGTTTGTTAATTTATTACAGGTGAGGATTTTTATTCTTTAATATAAAAATGTGAACAGATTTCAAAGCATCAAGTAGAAAAACACTGAAAAAGAGGAGGCAAAGCCAGTGCATCATTAAAAATTGCCAAAAGTTACTGGAGGTAATGATTCAATATTTTAATACATTTTGATAACATGCAGTTCTGCTCCTCTTTCTTCTTACCCTCTTTGACTTTTCTGGGTTTTAAAAGATATATCTAATAGCAAAATGTCCCTATCCTCGAAGCTATGATTTTACAACCAACTAAACAATCCCAGCAGAGAAAACTCAAGACATGAGATTAGTGCTATTTCTAACAGCAAAAAACACAATTAGAAAAAATTGATTACTTGGAATTAGCATGTAACTTTTCCATTTAACACATTTTAACCAGTGGTCAATTATGCCAAATCACTATGCCAAACCACTCTGCTCATCATTTCAGAAATCACTGAGTCCAAATAAACATTTGCTACCCACCTGCTCTCCTAAAATAAGGCTATGGTAGATTTTCAAACTCACCAATATATAAAGGAGAGTTCTCCGATTTGGCAAAGTCTTCTATGTAAGAAAGACCCAAAGGCATGATGGGAGTTTCACCAATTCCACGTATAATATTTCCTACCAGTACATACACCCACATTAATGATTTAACTTCCTTCACACATTCTGCATTAGAAGAGAAAGATATTACATTAATGTCTTGGTAGTAAAAAGTGAGTTGCATATAATCCTAAATTTTTGGTAAGCAATTTACAGTTTGTATGCATAATTCATTGTACCAAGAAGCCCCATCCATGATTTTTATTACTAAGCCAGCAGTGAATTATTGGATCATCCCCTCTTGCATTTTCTGACAGAGTACTGAGAGCTGATCAAGTATAACCAGTGAGCTGGAACCCATTCCTTCTGGGTTGGGAGAGATGAGTGTACACATCTGTTCCTAATTCAGTATGTGGTGACAGCACATTGGTAATCTGAGAACACAATAGGTATCGCAGAACTTGGCAAACACTGAAAATCAGTACACCATTTTCCCTCCAGAAAACAAATTTACCAACAACTACTAAACAGAGTTAGCTGTCATGAGTGTTCCCCATTTTCTATATCAACTTTGGGAAGAAAAAAAACTACAAATATCTATCCCTAGGAGTACTATTTTATATGTCTTTTTATAGCATATATAAAGATAAACAAAAATCTTAGTGAATTTTAAATTCTCTACAGCACCAATTCACTTCAGAGAAACTATAATTTTTTACCTGGGTAGTAATCACATTTTCGCCATAGAGTCTACTATAGACTAAATAACTTTTAATAGAGAAATTCATTGCAATCCTTGGAGCAGTAGCTACTTAGTAAAACAACAAAAACTAGGCCAAAGTAGAAAGGGAGTAAATTGGCAAATGTCTGAAGACTTTTCTCTACCTCTTTATCACTTCCATTCTAAGATAAAATGGCTGTGAAGCCACAAAGACATTTAGTGGAAATCCATGTTCAGAAAAGTGAATGACAACTTGTCCTTATTTCCTGTAACCTGGCCAGGCTGCACTCACAGGTGTAAAGGTACTAAGCAGAGACGGGGGTCTAGACATTTCCTATGAGGTCTGTCCTCAACCATTCCCAGTCCAGAAAGTCAGAAACTACATTTCTGGGTATTGATTTTTTTCCAGTGATTTATGTCTAGATCTCTTAGGTAAATTCTCTGCTTACTCCAAAGCAAAATTGGAAATATCAGACAGATGATCAAAGAATTAATACACTTTCCTGCAGCTATACCAGAGTGGGAAGATTTTGATCTATTACAATGCAGATTTTTTTAATGGAAAATAGGAAATAGAACTGAGTCACCCTTTGGCAAAAGCCATCTCAAGGAGAGAACACAGGCCATTATTGATACTGTTTTCCTTTGTCTCCCCCAGGGCGTTCCCTTGGCTTAGATTTTCTGAAACAGCTATTTTTATATTCCTTGAAACTCTCAGTTCCTTCCAATTGCATAATGGCAGTGGAATTCTTATCCTGGACAGACTATAATGTCCACTGAATCCAGCATAAACATGCTCCCTTCACAAGGAGAAAAGTTCTGAGGTAAGCCAAGTGGGTCACCTCTGGACTAAGTGTCACCAGAAGGTGTCCTAGGTCCCTAGCATATAAAGGGTGGCAGAGGTATTTGGAACATAGGAATGAGCAGCCACACTAGTATTTCACTGAAATGTAAAGTAGTATATCTGATTTTAAAAAGGGAGGGGATAGGGGTAAAAAGACAAATTCCTTGTTGAGAAGAAAGAAAATAAAGTAAATCAGAACTGTAGCATACTTGCCTGCTTTCTCTGCTATAGATTAGTGATATAGCACATACCTTTTGGAGTTGTTAACTATTTCTATTTCCCATATGCATAACCCAAGCTAACAGTAGGAATTCATACTTCTAAGATGTTTACTTCATATAGTTAACTCTTCAGTGATCTTTAGATTGGTGGCTTTGTCTTATTTAATAGCCAGTTTAAAGAATAGACAAGGAGGCTGTAACATATGTATTCATTTTTAACAGAGAGGGCATTCTCTATTAGCCAATTCTATTTCCCTCCATGATCCCCTCCAAAATCCTTGAAAAAAAAGTTTTTGTGTTCATTTACCTTACCAAACCAATAACTCATTCAAAACCCTCAGCAGAAAATGTCCAGTTACAGAGTCACTGAACAGAAAGCAAGAAAATGAAGTAGACAACCTGATGGTTCTTCTGTTGTCCTGAAAATCTGGGTGTCGTTTTCCATACACAAGAAATTATTTGAGGACAAATTTCCTGAAACTGAAACTGTTGATTCGTATTCATATCTGTATGAACACAGGGAAAACGTGTTTATGTTAAGGAGCCAAATTGCACAACACAAGCACTGTACAAAGACCTAAACCCCAGACCCAGTAAAGATGATGTCTTGTCTTCTAGGCAACTTAATCATCATAAATCAATACCATCAACAGGAACTTGCTGTGCACTGTAAATGCGCAATCCCTTTACAGCTAGCTTTCAATTCTGCACATGTGCATGGTCTATCTTTTAGATGATCTAACGTCAGCCTTCTGAGTTGTCTTGGTGATCATTTCTTGGAAATAATGACTGTGGATAAGGAACCGAAGCTATAGGAAATAATAGACTCAACAGAGCATAATTAATAAGATAAATGTTTTGTGGAAAAAACGGAAGACAAATCTCCACTTTTAGATTCTCTGAAGTTTGCTTATAAGAAGTATACTCCCACTTTCTGAGAATCAAAACAATAATACTTTCTTGTATATGTTAACTCTGAAGAAAAACAAGCCATTTACTGTCATAATGAGAGACCTGAAGGGAATCTAAAATCTGTGCCAGCACAATGTAGTGGCTTTTCCTGTTCCCATAAGAACAAAGACTGTGAACATTTACCTTAGGCAAATTACAAAATCCACCTGCCCTTCCTCAGAAAGTAAATGACACACTAATAATGTAGGGAATTATGTCCAGCTAAGTCTCTACTTCTTAGAAATTAAGTTGAATGTTTTTTATATTTCTATTAGATAAGAGAAAGCCAAAGAAAACTTGCTCTTTTGAGTTCCAAAAGATGTCACTAGTAATTCCAATTGCTGGAACAATTGCTTAATCATGCCCAGGGAATTTGACTGTGGAACCATGGGCAAAGCTCTGTCACATGCCTTTGATCTATGAAACATGCCAACTTCAGACAAATTTGACAGAGGGTAGAAAGAAATAGAAATAAAAAATGAATGCTACTTAATGTCATCTTGGGTAGGATAAAAGGAAGTAAAAGGACAGTGAAACAGTGTTCTTCTGATTCCTCCGGAAGATAAAATATCATTTTCATTCAATTTACCCATTAAAGCTTAATAACTCGTTCAAAGTCCATTCACTCCCAAAACATGAGCAAAATCACAGTCAGTGGATTTTGAAATGAAAAGAAAAAGTATTCCACCAGGGTGAAGAGAATGAAAGAGTAGACAAGATGAGTTTACCAAGATTTTGAAAATAAGAAAGCAGATAAGCAAGTGGTCACTGAATCAATAGATATAAGAAATATAATCCTAAGTAAATACTTTCAGGGAAACAATGAAGTGTGTGGCTCACAAATTTGAAGGGAGAAACAAATTCCCAAGAATAATAGGAAAACATCAAAGCAGTAATACAGCAGGTCTAAATGGAGAGGTAAGAGAAGAAATGCTTCCAAGATAAAATGACACTCTCTGGTATGTGAGAGAGTGTATTGCAAGGACACTTCTCTACCAGGTGAGAGTATGATAACAAAGTATTTAAAGTGAAAAGTAAAAATCAATCAAATTTAAAATGTGGCAGTTATTAAATCCAGGGAAACTAAAAGGATAACCACATGCTCATCAGTGAAAACTGTGTTCCAAGACAAATGGAAATACTGAATATGAGCTTACTGGTATGACTACATAAACACAAAAGTATCAAAAATGCAAATAATCAGCATTTACTTAGAAATACAGATGCAAATAGCAGACAAGAGCTAAAAGAATTGGAAGGGGCTGTCTCTGGGCAACATCTAAGGAGCAGGGGACAGATATTTTTCAAAATAATCCTTTCAGAGCCCTCCCTAGTGGCACAGCGGATTAAAGCACAACACTAAGAAGCTAAAGCCACTTCAGCATGAGTTCCATCCCTGCCCCAGAAGTGACCCACATGGTGTGGCAGACCTCTTCTGACCAGTCTGCTACTCCTCTTAGTAGTGTACTTCATCAGTCAGCCTGTTCTGCTCCCCATTCTGTCTCTGGTGGATCCTCTCACCACCCCTGCACCTCAGCCTATACCCCAGTTCTTCATGCATAAATAAATAAAAATCTTAAAAAAAAAAATAAGGCTTTCTATACAATTTTATTTTCACGACTTTGTATGCACATTACGTTGGCAAAAATTAAAATAAAATTCATCGACTGACTGCTGTCTTGGTGACCCACAATTAAAAAGAACGTTATTGTAGTTGAAAGTGTGTCAGAAGTCCCAAGAAAGGAGTAACCCTAAATTTTTGCCACATCAGACTCTACCCAACAAAAGGAGTGTCTCAAATCTGTCTGTGGGACCCAAACAGCCAAGGACACACACAGACTGGTGGAACAGGATCTGCACACTGCAGTTCCCAGCACAGTGCTCCTTGCTCTTTGAAAGGAAATTCCAAGCTTCACTTCCTGAAAGTTGAGCATAAGACACCACAAGAGACTGGAATACTCACCGGTTCATGAGGAAATGAGGCAACGATTGCAAGAAACACCCTAGACCCATGACCATGCATCCAACACCTATCATGATAGGCCTGTGCAGTTTGGTTCCAAAGTAACTCACAAATATGATCAATAAAAGATTTCCTAGGGAAAAAAATGAAATACAAATAGGATATTTCAGTAAGTATGAGTGAAGTTTTGAGAACCTCAGACACAACCCTGAAGGAGAGCTCTGTCTCACAACGTCAGTAGATAAACACGTCTGTAGAATACCAGCATTTAAAGGGCAGAAAAGGAGCCCATGAAAGGGACTGTGCACGGTTCTGGGAGGTATAATGGCTCCTTGTGTCATTATCTGATCTTAAGGAATTAGATGCAGAAGTAGGTGTCACCCTGCAGGCTCCCTTTGTCTTCTCTCTCCATGTCTGCCCCATAGAATGTTGTCATGTTTTGCTGAGCTTGAAAAGAATAGCAAAAGTCAAATCCACAGAGATATGTTTTACTGTGCACGATTCAAGTATAACTTTCTATACATGATTCAAGTATAACTTTCTATACACTGAAGCCAAGCCAAAGAACTGGTTTTATTTAGGAGACTGTGCCTTAGAAGTAAGTTTCGATTTGGTACACAAATAATTGAAGGAAAATTGTATTTCCCGGATAAAGGAGCCAGTTATAGAGTTGCCACTCTGACACACAGGCCTATAAGTAAAGTAAGAGAGTCTGGAGTACATGGTTGAGAGAACCAGCAGATGGGGAAGTTCTCACACATTTTTTAAAGTCAGTAATCAATATTTACCCTGATCCTACTTGTGTATAAAAAAAGCCTCTATGGGCCCTCCCTGGTGGTGCAGCAGGTTAAAGCACAGCACTAAGCTATGCCACTTCAGCATAAGTTAGATCCCCACCCCAGA